AATGAACCCCCCCCTCTCCTCTCTCCATCGGTGCAGTGGGGCAGAATAATGCGGAATATTTATTTTTCTGGGGGGTGCGGGGTGTTGCCGTTTCTTTGTTTAGCAGGCGAAAAAAAAAAGGGGGAAAAAGGGAAATAAGGAGAGATCTGGGAGCCCCGAGTGAGGCTTTGCTGTTTAGGAACGGCAGAGGGTAGGCGCCTGCTGATTTCGAGGGAACACGCACCTCTTCCCCTCCGCCTCCCATCCCAGGGACCATTTTCTCCTCAAACTTCTAAGCGTTTGAGAAATCTTTTTGCTGAGGGCCGGGGGGAGGGGGGGGGAAAGCCTTTTTGCTGGGCGGGAGGGACACACACACACGACTTTTCTGCTGCTGAGAGCTGAAACTCGGTGCTCGGAGCTTATTTCAACGCTGTAATTAATTTTGTTTTATTTTCGTCTTGTCTTTTCTTTACACATCCCCCCCCCCACACACCCCTTCCCCTCTTTCTCTGCCCATAGGAGAATGTTTCCTCCATTTAAAGTGAGATGCACTGGACTGGATAAAAAGGCCAAGTACATTTTATTGATGGATATTGTGGCGGCTGATGATTGTAGGTACAAATTCCATAATTCCCGGTGGATGGTAGCCGGCAAAGCTGACCCTGAAATGCCAAAGAGAATGTACATCCACCCGGACAGCCCGGCCACCGGCGAACAATGGATGTCCAAAGTCGTCACCTTTCACAAGCTGAAGCTCACTAACAACATCTCTGACAAGCACGGATTTGTGAGTGCCTTTTACACCTTCCTTTGCCCCCCCTTTTCCCCTTTTTCCCACCGCTCGCTGCCCCCTGAGAGGGGGGGGGAGGTGGGATCCGCAGCTGCTCGGCCGGAGCTCCCGCGGGTGCCCAAAACGTGGGGGGAAAATGAGAAATAAATACACCCTCCCCCCCTCCTCCACGCACACGGGGTCGCGCATCTGTCCGGTTTACGATAGTCCTTGATTTTTTTTTATTATTATTATTTATTTTTTTCCTGTTGCTGAGCTCAGGAGTAAACACTGGAGTTTATTCCGTACCCTCTCCCTGCCATTCAGCATTAATTTAAGAGATATATTTCCAGCCCAGCGCAACTCGATATTTCTAGGAGCTGTGGTGACTTTATATCTCTCTCTCTCTATATATATTTTTTTAAAGTCGATCACACTTTTTAAGTGTAGGAAAATGATATGCATATGTGTATAAAGGGCTTAAAGGCCTAAGTGCGCAAACATTTAAATATATATTAATCTGGACAGTGTAAAGCAAGCCGGAGTGAAAATAAACAGGGACCAAAATCAGAGGTCAAGTTGCCCATTCATGTCTATCCACTCCTTTACATTTACTGGGCGTGCAGAGATAAAAACTTACCCTAAGAGTGAAATCAAACAAACCTGCTGATAAGTGCTCTGACGATCCTTCCCCATTTCTTGCTATCCCTGGGAAAGCCTCCGCCTCGGAGCCGGGGTTTTGCTGGTGGTGGCCGAGGTCGGGGGATCTCTAATGTGCCGAAGATTGCATTTGCTGGCTGTGATTTGATTAGACGATACATTTTTTTTTGCCTCTCGCAGAAGGCCTTAAGTGGATTGGGGCGAGCAATTAGACCTGGCCGAGGCTCTCGGTGCTGGTGTTGCTGTTGTAGCTGCTGCTGCTGCTTTTGTTTTAATTTTTACTTGATTTTAATTTTTTTTTTTTAAATCAAAAAGCATCGCGGCCCGAGCCCAAACAGCTTCTCCCCTTCTCCTGGGAGAGCTCTGCTGGGATTTTACACCCCCCCAGCTCCCCTGAGAGGTCCAGCAGAGAGCCCTAACCCCGGCGAGCTGGAGCTGTCAGTGCTTTTTGTTGGATGCTGCAAGGCGTGTGTTTGGAGTGTGCTCGGCGGGGAGGAGGAGTGAGGGGAGGAAGGAGAGGGAAGGCAAATTAGGAGGAGAAAGTGCCTAATGGAAGGGGGGGGGAAGTGCGAG